ACTCTGGTGACCCAGCTCAGGGGGCCAGGCTTGGCAGCAAGCCCCTCACCCACTAAGCCATTTCGCCTGCCCAGAGTCTGCTTCGTGGCCACTTTCTGCACACATTGCATGAGAGTCCCCTCCTGTCCCTACAGTGGTGACCTCCCAGCCCGTCTGCATCCCACCGTCTCACTGTATGGATGGGGTGTCTTCTTCAGGGACTTTCAACCCCTAGTCCAAACGGGAGCTGCTCTCCTCCCTGCCCAATCCCGGACCCCATGCCTCGTCACCTGATTTCCCACACAGCCCGTCTAGTCCATGCATCAGAAACTTAGAATATCCCAGCATTCCTGGTCCTGCCATGCCTCAGTTGGTTCCTTGGCCCTCAGTTCTAATCACTCCTGGAATCCACACCTCCTTCTCTGAGTCTGGGTGACATCCTTCTAAGAAGATTCAGTGTGAAGACTGATCCATTTGTCTTTGAGTCCCAGACTCTGGGCACAGAGTGGGGTCTCAGTACATGTGCTGATTGGTTATTTTTGCTCTTTTTAGTGCTAGAAATTGAACCTGGGGTCTTGTGTGTGATAAGCACTCAAATCGCCACTGAGCTAACTACATCTCAGGCCTTTTATCTTATTTTTATCAGAACTGAAATCCAAAGCTGAAGGTTGGCTTTGGTAAAATGGCAGATTAGAGAGAAAATGTCCCCAGTGTCCATTTCAGTCAGCTGGCTCCTTTTCCTTCTACTAAACTGCATTCTTTTTCATGAGGCTATTCAGTGTGGGAAGTGGTAACTTTATCCTTTGTTGTTAGGCAGATTTGCATCATGGTATTTGCTGCTATATAGAAATACGGGGAAAGAAAAAAAATTGTCCAACATTGCTGTAATTTATTCTTCTTACCACTAGCATTTCCCCTTGTGTATTTTCAATTAACCTATCAATACTTACAATCTATCAAATATTTATTTATTTGCACAGTTGCAATCATAATAAAAAATTTGACTTAAATATATTTTCTTAAAATTATAGTATAATTTATACATTATTATGTATGGCTAAAAGCCTAATAAAATTGTTATACACAAGGTCCATTCAAATTAATCCAAATGGGATTCTTGCTCCTCATATACTATTCTCTGTAGGGTTCACGTCTTAGCTGCTTTTATCAGATCTGTGGCTCTTTGGAAGCTTTAGAGGCTAAGGACTTTCCAAGTGCACTTGGGAAAAACATCTTCAGCTTGTGCAGCTGCATCCTGAAGTGGTCCCCAGGTTTGGGGTTACACCATCCATTGGCTGATGGGAGCATCTTTGTGCCACATCGTAGCAAGGCCACTGGCCCAGGTCAGGATGCCAGGACCCTGACTCCAGCCCCTCTGGGTGTCTCTTGAACAACTTGCTCCTTTTCTCCTGTCAAGTGCCTTGGTGAGGAGGACTTGGGAGACCAGGACCAGGGTGTGGAGAAGGCCAAGGGCTCAGCAACAAGATAGGTGCTAGTAAGCTGCATGGGGTTCACACGTGGGGGAGTGGGTTCAGAGGCGTGCCTTCCTGGGGTGTGCTAGCTTTCCGACTTTCTGTCTTCTGTGACTTGTGTAGGTCTTGTATGCTTGCATCCTTGGGTGTGCCTGTGGGAGCATGAATACATCTGCATATGAGTACATGTGCCTTTGTATGTGTTTCTTTGTTCACGTGTGTATATAACGTGTGTGAATTTTTAAGGGTGTGTGTGTGTGTGTGTGTGTGTGTGTGTGTGTTTGAATGTTTCCAGTCTAGAGTATGTCTGAGTATGACTATGTGTATGTCTGGGTCTGTGTGTGTCTTTGGGTGTATGTGTGATTCTGAGAACATGTTTGTGGGCTAGGCTGTCTTTGGGTAGTGTGTGTATGTGGTTACATGTGCATGATTGTGTGTCTCTAGGTGTGCACATCTGAGTATACATGTGTGATTCTGACTCTGGCCTGTGAAGGTTAGGGGATGACTGCAATGCATAGCTTGTCTAGATTCAGGGTGGGAACAAAATGGGCAAATTATCTTGGTGATCAGAACAGGTGACCCAGCGGAGACCTCTGGAATCCAGTTGCTAGTGTGTGGCCTCCCATTGTGGATCCTGAGCAGGCCCAGGAGTCTCACTGGGCCTGTCGTCAAGTGGAGTTACGCTGGGATGGGGTGGCCCCAGGCTCTGGACTCCACACTCTGGTTTCCTGAGTGGACCTACCCCTGCGGAACACGAGGCCTCTTCTCTGGTGTGTTTCAGACTTGCCTGTGTAAGTCACACACAGGAACCTTTTCTTGAGTGGTCACGTGGTCATGGTGGTGCTGAAACTGGAGTCCCTGCCAGCTGTCTCTGAGGAAAGAGAGCAAGGATCCCCTGCCCCAGGTTCCAGAGACCCACGTGTGTTTGGAACAAGGGTATCTGTTATGTTTGTCTCGCTAGGTGATGAGAAGTGGTGTCCCTGTGCTTCCTGGAAGCCAAGACCATCTGGGCTCAGTCAGCTTGGAGCCACAATCTTGGGTAGGAGCTGAGGATCTTGGGAGTAGGGTCATGATGAGAAATTCTCAGACTAAGAGAGGGACCAGTTCTCAAGCTCCCTTAAGGACTTGTGATGGCCAGCTCTGCCATCTGGTCAGAGACTGTCCTTGTTCTACACTGCAAGCTCAGCATCTTCCCAGGGTCCCCTCAGCCTTGGGCCAATCAAAACGATGGTCATCCCATCACTACTCTAGGTGGCACATGGGGACCACACTAAGGAGCCTCAGTGCTAAACTCCCAAGGGGCAGTGGGCATTTTGGGACGGGGCCTGGGGAACCTCCCTGGCAACCCTGTGTTGGGCACCAAGGCTGCTTCCATGAATCTTAGGGCTACATCCACCTTTTCCTGGCATGAATCACTTGGAGTTTGGGGTTTCAGAACATATTCTGGGTCCTGGGTCCCTTCTCTTGTGGTGGTGGGGCTGCTAGAGTGACTAGGGATCTCCTCTCCACAGAATGTGAGCTCTTCTCACTAGCGTTGGGAGAATGATCCCAGAGCCAGGGTTGGGCTGGAAATCGCAACACTGTCATCCAAGGAGGGCCAATGAGAGAAGGAAGAAGTGCAGCCTGGACAGCGAGGAGGCAGACAGATGGACAAACAGACGGACAAACATCAGGCCAAGGCTGGGTCCCATGAAGGCTGTCGAGTCTATAAAAGGAAAGATTGGCTAAGGCAGAGGATGGGGCCATAGATACAAGTGGGGGCGGAAGAAAGGTGACCAGATGGAGCACTATGTGCCTGACCAGCTCTGCTGCGGCTTGGGTGGCTGTAGATGTAACCTGGAAAGCAGGGTCACAAACTTGATGCTGCTCTGTGATGCGGAAGGCCTGGGAGGGCTTCTTAGGAACCCCGATCCCCATCTCCACATCTCTATCCACCGTCCAGCGCCTGCCACTGTCTTTTAAAGAGGCCCCTACCTCCTACCGAGGAGAATGGTTTGGAGGTGCAGGTGTGCACAGACATGGGGTGCTGCTCCTTCTTGGCCTGGGGACTTGACACGGATGGAGGTGGGGGAGGGGCAGTGGAGACTGTCCTCAGCCTTCACCCTTCTCTAGTGCAGTGTCTGAGGGTGTTCGGTCAAGGGCTTCTCTGCGTTCATCTTAAGGGCTGAATGGTTTGGGTGGGTGAAGGGTGGGGGCCTGGCCCTTCGAGGGGAAGGCACTGCAAGGAAAGGGGGGGCTCTGGGCCCAGCCTGTGCCGTGTCTTGACTTCTCATGGTCACCTGGGGGTGAGGAGCCTAAGGAAGGAGACAAAGGGAGTTTGTTCAGTTGTCTTTGCCCTGATATTGCAGTGACTAGATCAGACCGCCCACACCTGAGGGTGGGCTCCCTGTGAACTGGGGGCTTCCTAGAGCTTCCCTGGCCTCACCAGGCCACACCGAAGCTGCCGACCAGAGACTGTGCACTGTGCTCGCAGGCTTTCAACTCCTGCAGCTTCCAGAGGTCCAAGCACCCACTGTCATGGGCCCCTGGGCTTGCTGACAGGAAGTCTGGGGGAGGGATCAGGAAGAGGCAAGTGGTCAGAAGAAGGTGGGGGCCTGAAGGTCCGAGAAGGGCCAGAGGGAGGTGAGGCAGGGGAAGTGTACAGAGCAGAGGGGGGACAGGAGGAAGGCATTGAAGAGCCTGTGGGCTCTAGCAAGGGAGGGGCTGGTTGGGGGGGGATGGGAACCTAGCTGAACGAGGTGGGCAGTCAGGAAGAGAGGGTACAGAGGCAACGAGGCGGTGGTGTGAAATCGGGCGGGGACCGCGGGGCTCTGGAATCTCAGTCTGCTCCTGGATCAGTTCCTTTAGGACTTCATAAGGAGGTAGAGGTGGGGAGCAGAGGGGGAGGTGAGGGAGGGACAGAGACAGAGAGA